GGATTGCGCCCTGCGGAACGTCCTGAGGGACCTGTAATTTCCTCTCACTCAGTAGTATCTCTCGGACACCACTGTGTCTCAGCGCTATCGGTGGTTGTTTAGACTGTTTGCGATCTTAGCCAGTGTAAACACATCTGTGACGGTCGTGATGGTCCCACATTGCCCGGAGCCGGGGCTGTTTGTAGAAGCCACTCTTCATCTCGCCGTAGGAGGGGTCCTCGCCTTCTCAGAAGGAGGACGGACTTCCCTGGCTCTGCAAGTGGGCAGTGGGCTATTGGGCACGTGCAGCTGCGCCTCTCCTTGGCTCTCCCAGGGGCTGGCCTAAGGCTTTTCCTCCGCTGACCTCGGGATAATCGTCTGCGATTGTGGGAGCACTGCTGGCCGTGGGTGGGACAGTTACTCGCATTCTCCACGAGCATGCGTCCTCTGCTCTGCTCCTGCCTCTGCACGTTGTGAAGCTCACTGGGGCAGGCCTGGAGACGGAGCTGCGGTGGTTCGCAGAGTTCATTTTGGCCGAAATCTAACAATGCAGAGAGATTTGACTGCTGTTAGTTTACTGCAAAAGTAATTGCGGTTTTTGCCATGAAAAGTCCTGTTTTACTCCCAGGCATATATTTCACGTGATTCACCACTCGGAAGAGATGTGATGACTTCATACCCTCCAAGCCACAGCGTGGGCCCTGGAGGCAGAGGACCCAGGTTCAAATCCTGATCCTTTCATTCATTTACTAGCTTTGTGACCTTTGGCAAATCACCCTTTCTGAGACTCAGTTTAGGATTCTGGAACGTGGACTATTTAAATAGTGGGTAGAATGAACTTGACACATTGCGTGACACATAGGAAATGCAGAAGAAATGTTAGCTCTTGCCATTTTGACCTGTGCTCTGAAACTGTCAAAATGGCATAGAAATTATCTGATTCTTGAAGGTTTGTGAAAATTTGTAAATTTTATCTGGCTGGCAACCTTTTAGAGAGTTAGATCAGAGCTTCCCAAACACGGCCTGTGGGACAAATCGAGCCCTATGCTCTCTTTTTTTTTAAATATAGTCTGAAAGGTAAGAATTGATCTTATATTTTTTAATGGTTAAAAAATCAAAACAAGGCCAGGTGCAGTGGCTCATGCCTGTAATCCCAACTCTTTGGGAGGCTGAGGCAGATCAATCACCTGAGGACAAGAGTTCAAGACCAGCCTGATCAATATGGTGAAACCCTGTCTCTACTAAATAAATATAAAATTACCTGGGCATTGTGGTGGGTACCTGTAATTCCAGGTACTTGGGAGGCTGAGGTAGGAAAATCGCTTGAACACGGGAGGCTGAGTTTGCAGTGAGTGGAGGTCGTGCCACTGCACTCTAGCCTGGGCAAAAAGAGCAAAACTCCATCTACGAAGAAAAAAATATCAAAATATTTTTTGTCAGTGTTTTCTGACATATGGAAATTATGTGAAATCAAATTTCAGGGTTCAGAAATAAAGCCTTATTGGGAAACAAACACATTCATGTGAAAAGAAACCCAGGGTGGAAACGGCTATGTCAGAGGCGTCTGAAACGTTGCTGGGTGGGCAGGAAGAGTTGGACCCGGGCCTGGACACACCCAGATGGAATGTCACCTGAGGAACTGGACCAAACTCTAAACCTCCTCAATAATCAGGTACATTTAATGTAGTCCATTTATATTGGGCCTGATCACAAATCTCCTGGGGAGATAGCTGTGCCAACATAAGCTGATCACCAGCTAGAGACTTTCTAAGCTGTCAATCAACCACCATTAATCATGGACAGTGCTACATTGTCCCACCTGTGTAAACTGACAGTTAACCTCTATAAGCTCCTCTTCAGCCTCACTTGGATTTAGCTGCTTGCTAGATTTGTGTCCCCCGCATTGCAATTCCTCTTCCGTTTGCTGCCCTGTTGACAATCATTTGTTTGTTACATATTGTCTCTGGCTGCTTTCACCCTAGAGGGGCAGGGTTGAGTAGCTGCAACAGGCCACGGTGGCCCACACACCCTCATGTTTACTACCCGGCCCACTGCAGAAAGTTTGCTGATCCTGAGTTAGACGACTGATGCTTTCCTTTCTTCTACACTTGTTAGCCTTTCCAGAAATACGTGTAACGAAAGGAGGGCTCTCTCCTTTGCATGTTGGTTTAGCTAGTTGATTGGCTATTTGATCTAGCTAATGGTGTAGCTAATTAGAGATGGCAGGTAGTTTGCAAGAACTTTACTTAGATTATCATTTAGACCTCCACTACTGTAGAGCTGTATAGAGCAATGTGTTAGTTGAAGTCTCTAGAGAGACAGACCCAATAGGAGATTATTTACCACTATATATCTATAGAAATTTATGGGGGGATTTGTTAGGGAGCTGGCTCGTGTGATGATGGAGGCTGGGAAGTCACAGGGCAGGCCTTCTGTGAGCTGGTCCAAGTCCAAAGGCCTCAGAGCCACAGGAGCTGATACTGTGAAATGAAGTCTGAGGCCAAAGACCTGAGAAACTGGGAGGCAGCTGATGCATGTTCCAGAGTCCAGAGAACGTGAAGTTCCGACGCCCTGGGGCAGGAGAAGAAGAGTGTCCCAGCTCCTGAAGGGAGACAGCAAGAGCACATTCACCCTTCTTCTGCCTTTCTGTTGTAGGTGGGCCCTCAGCTGACTAGATGGTGCCAGCCCACACTGGGTGACGGTGGATCTTCCCGGGGATTCAAATGCCAACCTCTTCTGAATACACCCTCACGGACACACCCAGCAAGAGTGGTTTACCAGCTATCTGGGTATCCCTTAATCCAGCCAAGCTGACACTTGAAATTAACCCTCAGAAGCAGGGAAAGCTGAAAATGAAGCCTGAGCGTTCCATTTCTGTGCGTCTTAGGGCCAAGGGCCGGCACTGAAGTCCCGTGCCGTGTGTCTGCCTGGGGCCATCCCGGCCACCCCACCTGTTTCTTCCAAGCTGGACTGACACAGTTATCCTGCCTATGCTCAAATGAATCTAGACCATTCTCTTCCCAGAGCTACTCTAGAATATGTTCCTTCCCACTGATGAATGAGAAGAAATAATGTATGTGAAAGTACTTGATGAGATGTAGAGTAGAATCATATACTGGACACGATTGTGCTTTTATACAATCGGCTGGCTGAGTTCATGTAGCTTGCCTGACCAGCCTGGAGCGGCCTTTCCAACTGCCAGCTGAAGTCTCCTCCGGGTGATCCTGGGCTCCTCCTCTGCTGCTGGTGTTGGCTCTGCCCTTTGGACAAAGAAGGTGTGCTTGCTGATCCAGAGCTGCCTTTCCTGGTTGGCATTCCTGTTGTTTTTATTATTATTATTATTTTTGTGTGTGTTTTGAGACGGAGTTTCGCCCTTGTTGCCCAGGCTGGAGTGAAATGGTGGCCACTGCACCCTCCGCCTCATGGATTCAAGTGATTCTCTTGCCTCAGCCTCCTGAGTCGCTGGGATTACAGGCATGTGCCTCCATGTCCAGCTAATTATGTATTTTTAGTAGAGATGGGGGTTTCTCCATGTTGGTCAGGCTGGTCTGGAACTCCTGATCTCTGGTGATCCACCTGCCTTGGCCTCCGAAGCTAGTAGGTGGTGGAGCTGAGACAAGAACATTCAGCCCTTTGTAACAGGTCTGTGCCAATAAATTCCCACTGACTGAATTTCCACTCTAAAGCTAGGAGCCCCTCCAGATCACAAGAATAAACATGGGCCAGAGTCACAGGACCCCACGAGCTTAGAGAACAGAAAGAAGATATGTAGATTCATGAACCAGCTGGAACACACCACCCCTGAGTCCTGGCAGCCAAGAGTCCTCCTGAATCCAGAGCTAGCGGTAGTGGGTGCTGGTGCTGGGGCTGGAGAGCTAAGGGGCAGCTTAGCCAAGGAGCCTCCCTCGCCGCCCATCATTGCTGCTTTTCCTGTAATTTCACTGTGTCCCCTGGAGGTGGACATTTGAGAACTTGCATAAGTTTAGCTGTGACGTTCCCTCGACCCCACCCCTATATATCAACAGAAGTATGTGACGCAGCTGATGAACTGCAGCTCATAGAGTTGATCTTTTCCCTGGACTCAAGGTCACTGCATGCAGCAGGCAGACCCATTCAGTTCCAACCTGACTTGTGAGGAGCTTGTTCATAGTGGTTTCCCAAAAGAAGAAGAAAAATTTGAGAGTGAGCCACCGTCTACAGCTAAAGGAGCCCTGAGTCTAGGTTAGGACTAGGGCACCATAGAGATCTGTTGGAAAGAGGCGAGAAACTGACTTTTTAACAAGAAACTACACGTGAAGGCCATAGTGTTAACGCTACAGGGAAACCCACACCCAGTACTCAGATATGCTATCAGGCTCACGACTATGCCAAATGTCATGTTGAGGTCTGAAGGGAATGGGTGAATGAGCAGAAAGAACACCTTGGGGGGCGTAGGCAGGTGAAAGATGATGAGATTCAGCAGCAGCTCTCATCCATGGCCTTCTCATCAGCAGCTTACTTACACCGGCTCTCTCGAACTGTTCACCCTGCCTCAGTTGCTTAGTCCGGCAGCTACCCCACAGCTGCCTAACAGGCTGTCCCTTGCTCTCAGGGTCAGCAGCTTCATTCTTTCTCTCTCTGGGCACAAGCAAGTTGAGCTGTGTCCTGGCTCCCCACTGTTCATCTGCAAAGAGAGACAGCTCTGCGCCTCCCTCTTTATCTGGGCGCAAGAGCACCTGCACAGTGTCAATAGGGCAATTATACCTTTGACAGACAATAGTGGCTTAGAGCCGAGTGGCGGCCTTCCCTGTGTTATGGCTATGGTGGTGACCTTCTCTATGTTATGTCCGCATGGCTGTGGTAATGAGTGGAGGGTGGGGGAGCCCCCTGTGCTCTAGACTCACTGAGTCACTCTGGATGTTTACCAAGGCCTATCCTTGACCAAAGGATAGCCATATTTCTTACACTTCACCCCCTTGGCTGAGGGAGACATCGGCCTTGGATACACAGGTTATACACATAAGCTTTGAGTACATAGACTCGATGTATACACACAGGCTTTATATATAAGTTTTGGGCACATTGGCTTGATCCACAGGCTTGAGGCACAGGCCTTACATTCCACCCGCTAGGCTGAAGGAGTCCTTAGTGGGGATCCATGCACATGGGGCAGCATGTTGGACCCATGGGTTACAGTAATAATACAGGGAGCAACACCCTACCACTAATATTCCCGTTATGCTACCTGTGATTATTAAAGCGCAATGTAGGGTGGATGCAGAGACATCACCATCTCTGCAGGCGGTCATCTGTCAGGCACTTAATCACTTTAATCTCCCGTCACGCTCCTTGTAAAGCTGCTGTTATGTCCTGGTGGTTGTTGGGAATAAATTGTACAAAATTGCGGCCCTACAAGGACACGGGTGCCACCTTGGGCAGCTGTGACTCTGTCTGAGGCCACCTGGTTTCGAAGCACCACCTTTCTGATCTCATTAACCTCATCAGTCAGCGAAAGAGGACAACTCCGGTGTAATGCAGGGCCTGAGCCATGTGCTCTGCAGGGTTGTAACTGGCATTTCCGCAGTAGCGACACCTGCTTCAGGGATAGTTACTGCTAATGGATAGAACCACCAGGGGGCCCCCACGCTCACAAAAAGTGAGAACACAGCACCTCCCAGTTCTACGGGCCACTAGGCAATGTGGGAAGCACAGTGGCAGGCACATCAGGCCACTCCCAGGTTCAACGTCCAGTCCAACTGGCTGGCAGATATGGCCATCCTGTGTCCCCACAGACCCATAAACTCCCAGGAGCACAAAGTCCATGGGGGCCTGGCCTTGCTAAGGCCACTTGTTCCACACATGTTATGTTTGCAGAAACCTCAGCAGGCAACTATCCCACATTGACTTCGCCCCAGTACGCGCTCTCCATTGTGGTACCTGCAATGGGGGACCATGTGTTCTTCCAGTAGCCAGCCCCACCCATCATGGACACTATGGGAGTGAGGCAGGGGGCAGACTTGCCATGAGTTTTGCAACGCCCCTTATTCAAAGCTCGCCGTGTTGCATCCCAACATGGGATCCCTTGTCCATGGGACCCCAAGTCTCTAGCCATTTCCAGTTCTTCACAGAAGCTGGATGCACGCACCAGGGCAAGCGGTCTGCAGGTGCTGCCGGAAGGGGCGGTGCAGATCCAACAGCTGGAGATTGGCCAGCCACCTCAGTGTAGGTGTGGGCCCAGTCCATGATGCTGTTGGGGCATACCAACCTGTAACCAAAATGACAAAGCAAGCACACATACTAACAAGGGTAAATCATGTCCCTCAGGCAAAATACAGGCCAATTTTTCATCTTTGGATAACAACAATGCAGCCGCCAAGGGCTTCTCCCCTGGGCAATACCACACGTTCTCAGCTCCCCATGGTTCTTTTGGGTCCTGTACCCTTGCCAAAGTTACAGAAGAGCTCATAATAGACCACACAGACATACATATGTCCCCCAGAGGAGGGTCCCTTCCCTGGCCATTCCCCTATGAATGGCCAATTGTGGAGGCCGCACATTAAATACCCAAGGAGTATCATATAAGTCATACTACAGACCTTCCCCCCAGGGGACTGCAATAGCCAACCAGCTGCAGTGAGGGGCTGGAGGGGGGGAACCATGGCCAACACCAGGTTTTGTTTTGTTTTGTTTTTGGCTTCCCCACCTTTAGGGTCATTGGGGCAGGCAATAACAGAGTACCGTTCCTCCCCGTACCTGGTAGGAGAAGGCCATACTTCCTGGCTGCATGGCCTGGCCCTACATGAGTCGCTGGGTAGCTAGATAATTCTGCAGCCTCCAGGTAATTAACCACATGGTTAAGACTCAATAAACTGCCCAGCTGTTGGTGTAGAGTACCATAGGTGTCACCTCAATAATTATCATTGAGATTAACCTTGTGGTTAATTATCATCTACATTGCCCTGAGTTCAACCCATTAGCTACTTTGCCCACACTTGGTATCCAACCATACAGTGTCAGTACTAGGCTAGACCGTGGCAACAATCCAGGCAGCAGTAGCACTCTGGCTAGGTATACAGACACAGTACACAGAACTATCTGTACACTACATCTCATTAGAAATGGGGGGGTTCCTTAGGCCCCATGGCCTTAACTTGTATTAGGACTACAGACCCTAAAACCTCTTGTAACTCTGCTACTAGGGACTTGTACTTAGTGTACTTTCCTGTTCTAAGCAGGCACCCCACCTTGCTAAAGTGGATGACTGTGCTGTCGCAGTGCAGGGGGTTGTTACCCATGATCGCACCCATCCCACTATTACTAACTGCTTCTCTATTAAGGAATGCCAGAGCTCAGCTCCCTTCCACAGTTAGGACCGAAAGCCTACTGGCATACTCAGGCACTCCACGCGCTGCTATAGGCCCTAAATGAAACTATCTGTGGTTACATGCACATCTAGCTTAAACGGGCACCCCAGTCAACTACCCGTAGGGCTTGCTCTTGCTACATGGCCTGCTTGGCTACCAGGAAGCCTGTCTTAACTGCATTATGCAGTCCCAGCAAGAGGGGCATTGCTGCTTCTAAATGTGCCAGGGAATCGGAGGTTAGCATACCCTTATTAATAAGACCATGACCTATGGCGGGGCTACACATAGGTCCCTGCAGCAGCACTGTGAAAGTCTATTGTCAGTCTCCCATGAAGGCAAACTGTTCCTGGCTCTCTGGAGCAATGTGATTTGAGAGGAATGCATTGGTCAAGTCCACCACACAGTGACATTGTCCCACTTTCATTGTCAAGCAGGCCATCAAGTCCATGATGGAGAGGACAGCTGCATACAGAGGCGGGTGTCACCTTATTCAGTTCTTGATAATCCACTGTCGTCCGCCGAGCTCTATCAGGCTGACTGGCCATACCGGAGAATTGTACGGGCTAGCAGTGCCATGCTCTATTTCCACCTCCTCTAACTTCTTCTTTTTTTTTTGGAGACAGAGTCTCGCTCTGTCACCTAGGCTGGAATGCAGTGGCGCAATCTCGGCTCACTGCAACCTCCGATTCCCAGGTTCAAGCAACTCTCCTGCCTCCGCCTCTTGAGTAGCTGGGATTACAGGTGCCCACCACCATGCCCTTGTGCCAACCACCAGCACAGCTGTAGCCACTGATGAAGGGAGGAGTGAGTTGTGATAGAAGCCAGCTTCTCCATCTCCAAGGCAGAGCAAGAAATGCCGTCAGCTCCCTCGCACTGCAGGTAGCTTTTGAGTTGCAGCGTCTGGGCGGGAGAAGGTTGAACAACTTTGCTTCACCTCCCATCCCCACAGGCACTGTTTATCTAATTCCCACAACTCAGTGGGCATATAAGCACCATAAGAGGTGTGTTCCACCACCATGGAGGGGGTCCCTGGGCTCTCCCCTGGGGTCCCATCGACTGCTTATGTTCTACCTTCTGACGAATCACAGGATGAGCCCACAGTGGAGGAATCTCCTCCTCCTCAGCATCAGACCAAACGGGAGTGTCCAGCTGGGAGGACAGACTCAAGGTCGTGCTAACGGCTGTTGCTTACTCCTGTTCCAGGTGGTTGATCTGGGCCTCTAAATGTCCTGCTTGCCCCTGGAGGTCCCCCACTGCCAGGCCCTGCTCCAAGCTGTGCACTTGGGCCCCAGGCATGCGGCTTGTGCGGAAAGGTCCCTTACCTGTGGGACTGAACATGTACTTCCTGAAGTGCACTCAGAAACACCCATCTGACTCTGCCAGCCAAGGTGCATTTCCCTGTTGCCAAGAGCTTCCGGCAGCTTCAGTGCTTTCTCCACACTCGCAGGAAACCTGTCCACTGCCCCCCACTCTTCCATGGGGGCTCATCCAAGCAGCACCACTGCCACCGGGTACTACAGCCCATGCTGTGGCCACACAGCCAACCCAGGGACCCTCAGGGGCTGAAGACCCAACCACCGCATCCTGCCGACATCGCCAGTTGTCAGGTTCACAACTACGAATGTCATGTTGAGGTCCGAAGGGAATGCGGGGATGAACAGCAAGAACACTCGGCGGGCCGTGGGCAGGTGAAGATGATTTTATTCAGCAGCCGCTCTCATCAACAGCTCTCTCTTCAGCAGCTTACTTACACCAGCTCTCCCACACTGTGTGCCTTGTCTCAGCTGCTTGGTCCGGCATGCCCACACAGCTGCACAGCTGGCTCTCCCTGCCTTCAGGGTCAGCAGCTTAACTCTTTCTCTTTCTGGGCATGAGCAGGCCAAGCTGTGTCCTGGCTCCCCTCTGTCTGTCTGCAAGATGGACAGTTCTGACTCTCTTTCTCTGGGCCCAAGAGCGTCTGCACAGTATCAACAGGGCAATTATACCTTTTACAGACAATAGTGGCTTAGAGCCAAGCGGTGGCCTTCCCTATGTTATGGCTATGGTGGTGAGCTTCTCTATGTTATGTGCACATAGCTATGGTAACAAGTGGAGTTGTACGCCTGCGCTCTAGACTCACTGAGTCACTCTGGATGTTTACCAAGGCCTCTCCTTGACCAAAGCACCGCCATGTTCCTTACCTGTGTCTATATTGCCCTTAAGAAAAAAAAAAATAAGGATGCATCTTTAAAATTTTTCATTCAAATTCGTGATGCTAGTTAAAACAGTATGTTTACATTCAGGGCAAAGACAGAATCTCAATCCTTAATTCTCCAGAGGCAGTAACAAGTAAGAATGGAATACCCATACCTAGGAGCTTGGTAAATGTTTGTCAATTAACTGGTGCACTCTCAACAACCCAAAGGAACATGGTTAAGATTCTAGGCCCTTTTCTCATACATGATATAGACCAATCAAAGAAATTAATTGCCAATAAGCAAAAACAACTATGGCTAACTGAAGCATAAAAGTAGTTCGTTATAAAACCATGGGTGGTTTGAGGTGGGATTTGGCCACAAAATCAGCAGCAATGCTGGAACAAATCTCAGAAAATAATCAAAGTGCAGCGAGTCTGTGCCAAGTCCTGATCTAACCATGGAAACCATCTGCTTAGGATAGGTGCCCGGTGCTATGCAATTATGGCCACACCACTGGGGTCCACACTTACTGGATGCTTGTTTAATAAACATCAAGTCAGAATAAACCCTGACTGTCCTTGGACCATTGTGTAAATCTGTCAAGATTTAAAGTCTTGAGCAAGAGTATCCCACTGACCAAACCAACTCACATCACCATGCATCTAAACCCCATGGCTAGAGAGGGCTGGAGGAGTGACTTTCAGACCCCTTAGCCTAAAATTACCAGAGAATTGGGAGACGTTTGGATACGCAACAGCCAAGAAGGACAAACAACCAGAACACCTGGTTAGCTCCACAGCCTCCCTGAGGGCAGGCAGCTCCCTGGGACCATGAGTCCTGAAGCTCACCTTTATCCTGTATCCTCACCTCCCACTCTACACATCAATATCCTGGGTAGGTACCTGTTTGGATCACCTGAGATAGAGCCAGTATTCACAGAATCATTGCTGTATTCCAGTCCTGGTTGAGGCACTTGGACTTATTTCACTTAATTCTCACAATCACCCTGGGAAGGAATTATATTCATACTCCCTTCACAGATGGGAAGCAAGGCTCACAGAGCTTGTTTAGGAGAAACTTTGTTACCACCTACCTACCATGCCCTAGCACAACTCACCGAACTGGGGCCATGCCTGAAGCAGCAAACACACTGTGTGTCAAGGTGGTGTGTGTCCTTGGGCAGATCTGCCCGCCTCTGCTATTAGCCATCTCAGCAGCTCCTAGTCACCTGCATTGCCTTGCCCAGCTGGCAGTTCTTTCAGAATCTACTCTTGACCCGCCAAGTAGGATTGACTCCTCCCACTTTTCTGTGGGACAATGCTTTTTCCCACCCTCTCCTTTCTGGGCATCCCATCACCTAACACAGATGAGGGAACAGAAGAATGAACTTTGAATGTGACTTAAGACTGGGAAGAAGTCAAACACAATTTTGGCATCAGAAGACTCAAAAAGTGAACTATCACATGGTTCCATTGCTTTCAGAGGCTCCACTCTGAGGTCTGAGGAAGATGTTCAAATGCAGTGGTGATCAAATTGGGCACACATGAGACTCATCAGGGGGTGGGGTCTCCATGAAATGCCAATTGATGGGCCCCACTGCCAAAACTTCTGATTCGAAAGGTCTGATGAAGAGCCCAGAATTTGCATTTTTAGCAATATCACAGCGTTACGGGGTCTTTGAAGTGTCACTTTTCTGGCTATAAACCTGTGGCTGGTGGCACCTTTGCCGGAGTTTTGCTTGGACCACTGGACTCGTTCCACCCACTTGGCCTGGCAGACTGTGCTCAGCTCACGCTACTGGCCTGGATCCCGTGCCTCCGAGAGAGACTGCAGTCAGGCATGAAGCGGCAAGGGAGGTGTGAGCGAGTGTCGGGTCTGGCCAATGCACAGTCAGACACACTGGCTTCTGCCAAAGAACAGGCAGCTCCAGGTGCCCCAGGTGCCAGCATGGTGCCAATTCTCTGCAAGGCTGTAGCTGAACCAGGCATACCACAAGCAGTTTCCCCACTGGCACTGGGGAATGAGGTGGCACCCAGAAGCTTGGAGACACCAGGAAACACAGGACCCCAAAGAGGGAGTCACAGCCCTGGCTCGGGGAGCTCCCAGGTCAGGGCTTTCTGAAGGGCCACTGCTCTTCTCTCCCTCTCTTTGCCAGCAACATGGCAATAAAGGGGCATGTTATGGCCCTGTGTGTGTTACAGCAGCTTTTCTAGTCTTGTCATTGGTCCAGTCCTGAGTTCTTGCCCTGCAATCAGAAATAATGAGGCATGCAGACAAGCGGAGGGTGAGCAAGATGAAGAGCTTTATTGAGCAGTAGAACAGTTCTGAGAAGTCCCACAGTGGGCAGCTCCTTTCCGTAGCCAGGATGTCCTGACAAGTATTGAGTTCCTAGCAGAGAAAGCAGCTCCTCTCTGCAGCTGCTTGTCCATCATCTGCAGCTCTGAGAGAGAGGAGGCCCAGAGGGCTCCTGCTCACCTGGCTCACAGCCCTGCGCTGGGGGATCGCACGGTAGGGAGTGGAGTGTCAGGCCCGGTGGTCACCCAGATGTGGGGCGGACACAGCCCCGGCGGCCGTGGAGTGGATGGCTTCTCTCTGCAGCTGGTCTTCCCTTAGTCTCTCCCTTCTCTGTTTTGCTCTGGCTGATCCCTGGACTTCTACGGGCGTCAGAAGGGAAGAAGTGCAGGCAGACTGGTCCATGGGCAGGCCCAGAAAAGGCACCACAAGTCCCCAATCCGGTCCACAGGACTGGCAGCCCAGCCGCCAGCCTTCAGGCACCCCCTGGCCTGAAGGTGTGGCCTTACGGGAAACCCGCCCCCTTCCACCTGGTGCCACTGTCCAGGGTGCTTAGGCTGCTCTCCCCAGGAGCACCCAAGCTTCCCTCAGCCCCCTTCCCTCCTCAGCGTCCCTCCCCTGCCTCCCACTTGTCGGCATCTGGCAGGGGGCTGCTGGCCTCTCAGCGCTGTCCACCTAGCCGGGCTGCGACAGCGTCCAGGCTCAGCCTCAACCTCGCTCTGAAATCGGAGTGGGCATCCGGATTGGGGAGACGCCAGGCAGAGAGAGCAGGCACCTCCAAGCTTGCAAGGGCAAGATGGGGGCCTCCCCAGGTCCCCAAGAGTGCAGAGAGGCCTGGGTCCACAGCTCCGACTTGGGCAGCTGCAGCTGCCGCGGGGCCCTCGCCTGCTCCTGGCTGGAGCCGGCTCCGTGGAGCTTGAAGCCCCGGCCACGTCCCCTCACAGCCTGGGAATGGGGCCCCAGGTCCTCGCTGGAACCCCGCTGGCTCCCGGGGCAGGGGCGACGTCTCCGCGAGCTCCCCGGTGGCCCCGGCGCTCAGGGGCCGCCCAGGGCTCCCGCTCTCCCGGCTCACAGCCCTGCGCTGGGGGCGCCTTCAGGAACGGATCGCACCGTAGGGAGTGAAGTGTCAGGCCCGGCGGTCACCCAGATGTGGGGGGGACGCAGCCGGG